TGGGATTCTCCAACTTTTGTGATTCTCCAACTTTTGGGGTCTCAAATTTTCAGGGTCCCAATTTTTGGGATTCTCCAACTTTTGGGATTCTCCAAATTCTGGGGTTTCTGATTTTTGGGGGTCTCCAATTTTTGGGGGATTCCCAAATTATGGGATTCTCCAACTTTTGGGGTCTCAAATTTTCAGGGTCTTTAATTGTGGGGGATCCCAAATTTTGGGATTCTCTGAAGTTTGGGATTCTCAGAATTTTGGGGTCTCAAATTTTCAGGATCCCAAATTTTGGGATTCTCCAATTTTTGGGGTCTCTGATTTTTAGGGTCTCCAATTTTGGGGGTCTTTAATTTTGGGGGGGTCCAAAATTTTGGGACTCTCCAATTTTTGGGGTTTCTGAGTTTGAGGTCTCCAATTTTTGGGGGTCACAAATTTTGGGATTCTCCAACTTTTTGGGGAGGGCTCTTATTTTTGGAGATTCCTAATTTTGGGATCTCTGGTTTTTGGGGTCTCAAATTTTGGGGGATCCCAAATTTTGGGATTCTCCATTTTTGGGGTCTTTGATTTTGGGTTTTTCAATTTTCAGGAGTCCCGAATTTTGGGATTCTCCAACTTTTGGTGTCTTCAAATTTTGGGATTCTCCAATTTTCAATTCTCCAAATTTTGGGATTCTCCAATTTTCAATTCTCCAAATTTTGGGAGGTCTCTAATTTTGGGGGATCCCAAATTTTGGGCTGTAAAATGCCCCAAAACCCCCCCAGGAAATTAAATTTTTTCCCTTTTCCCCCTTTCCCGACCTTCCCAGCTGTTCCCAGTTTGGCTTTGAGCTTCATCCCAAAAATCTCCGAAATTCCCGTCGGGGTTTTCCGGCTTTTTCCGGGAATTTTCGGGGCCCGGTTCAGGTGGGAGCCCCAAAATCCTGAATCTTCTACCTGTAATGACACCAAAATCCCAAAAAATCCCCCAAATCTCCGAAATTCCAGCCCAGAATCCCAAAAATCCCCCAAATTCCAGCCCAAAATCCCAAAAAATCCCAATCCTAAACCCCAAATCCCAAAAAAATCCCAAAAATTCCTAATCCTAAACCCCCAAAATCCCCAAAAATTCCCATCTTAAACCCCCCCCAAAAAAGCCCAAAATCCCCAAAATTCGCAACCAAAAATCCCAAAAAAATCCCCCAAAATTCCCAACCCTAAATCCCAAAAATTCCCAAAATCCCAACAATTCCCAACCTTAAATCCCAAAATCCCAAAAATTCCCAGCCTAAATCCCAAAATTCCCAAAATCCCCAACCCTAAACCCCAAATCCCCAAAAAAATCCCCCAAAAATCCCAACCCCAAATCCCAAAATTCCCAATCCTAAATCCCAAAAATCCCCAAAATTTGAGCCCAAATCCCATAAAATCCCAGCCCAAGACCCCAAAAATTCCCCAAATCCCCCCAAAATTTACAAATTTCCCCCCAAAATTCCCAAATTTCCCCCCCCCCTCTTGGTACCTGTTGGTCGTTCGTGGTCGTTTGGGATTTTGGGGAATTTTGGGAATTTTGGGAATTTTGGGACTCTCCGGCGGCTCCGTCCTGGCGCCGCAGCGCCCAAAACTCCCGGTACTGAGCTGGGGAGAGGAATTCGGGAAATTTTGGGAATTTTGGGGGAATCTGGGAATTTTGGGAGAAATTTGAAAAGAATTTGGGAATTTTAGGACAAATTTTTGGGGGAAATTTGGGAGTTTTAAGGGAAAAAAAGAGGAAAAATTGGGAATTTTCAGGGAATTTTGGGGGAAATTTGAAAAAAAGTTGGGAATTTTGGGAGAAATTTTAGGAAAAATTTGAGAATTTAATGGGAAAAAAGAGAAAAAAAAGGAATTTTAGGGAGAAATTTTGGGGGAAATTCTGGGGGAAATTTGGGGAAAATTTGAAAAAAAATTGGGAATATTGGGGAAAATTTGGGAATTTTGAGGGAAATTTGGGCATTTTGGGGGGAAATCGGGGGAAATTGGGAATTTTGGGGGAAATTAGAAAAATAATTGGGAATTTTGGGGAAATACGAAAAAAATTGGGGCATTTTTGGGGGAAATTTGGACATTATGGGAAAATGTTCAGAATTTGGGGGTAAAATTGGGATTTTTGGGGAAGTTTTGGGGTTTTGGGGGGAATTTGGGGGTAAAATTGGGATTTTTGGGGAAGTTTTGGGGTTTTGGGATTTTGGGGGAAATTTTGAGGATTTGGGAGGAAATTTGGGGATTTTGGGCTAAAATTGGGATTTTTGGGGAAATTTGAGGATTCTGCGGGAACATTTGGAAAGAATTTTGGGAATTTTTCGGGACTTTGAGGGAAAATTTGGGGATTTTGGGAAGAAATTTGGGGATTTGGGGGAAAAATTTTGGGAATTTTGGGGGAACTCACCCTTGATTTCCTCTGGAGCTTCTTTGATGTCGGCCTGGAAGGGAAAAAAATCCCAAAAAATGAGAATTTGGGAATTGTTCCCATTGGCTGCGAGAAGATTTGGGGATTTTGGGGGGATTTGGGTTTTTTTTTTGGTGGGAATTTGGGTTTTTTCAGGGTTTTTTGAGGATTTTTTTTTTTTTTGGTGGGGATTTGGGGCTTTTTTGGGGTTTTGGGGTTTTTTTGGTGGGAATTTGTGTTTTTTAGGGTTTTTTAGTGGGAATTTTGGGATTTTTTTGGAAGGAAAATTTGGATTGGGCCCTAAAACCCCTCCCAGGACCCTCCTGAGGCTCTCCTGGATCTGAGCCCACCCCAAAATCCCCCCAGACACCCCAAAAACGGCCCCAAAGATTCGGGAACACCCCAAAAATCCCATAAACCAAAAATCCCCTTTCCAGGGACCCCAAATCCACCCCAAGGACACCAAAACCTCCCCAAAACACCCCAAAAACCCCAAACCACCCCAAAACCACCTCAAAGACCCCAAAAAACCCAAGAACCACCCAAAACCAACTCCCCCCAATCCAGGGACCCCAAAACCCCCCCAAAAACCCCAAAACCTCCCCAAGACTTCTCCAAAATCCCCCAAAAATCCCAAATCCACCCCAAAACCACCCCCAAAACCCCAAAACCTCCCCAGAGACCCCCAAAAAAACCCCAAAAATCCCAAAGACCCCCCAAAATCAACTCCCCCCAATCCAGGACCCCCCTAAACCACCCCAAGGACTCCAAAATCTCCCAAAAAACCCCAAATCCATCCCAAAAACCTTAAAGACACCCCAAAAATCCCAAACCTCCCCAAAGACCCCCGAAAAAACCCCAAGGACACCCCAAAAACGCCCCTAAACCAACTCCCCCCACTCCAAAAAAAATCACAACCACCCCAAAAATCCCAAAACCTCTTCAAAGTTCCCAAAACCTCTCCAAAAACACCTCAAAATTCTCATGGATCCCCCAAAATCAACTCCCTCCAATCCAGAAAACCCCAAAACCTCCCCAAGGACCCCAAAAACCCCCAAAAATTCCCAAGGACACCCCAAAAACCCCAAGGACCCCCCCCAAAACCAAATCCCTCCAATCCAGGACCCCCAAATCCACCCCAAGGACCCCAAATCCACCCCAAAAATCCCAAAAC